TTTTTTTTTTAATATATATCCATTAAGTAAACTATTTTATCAATATATTAAATTTACTGTCACACCTTGTCAAATCATCAGAGTAACTGAAAGACATCTGTTAACATATTCGTACTACTTTTAAACATAGACGCTCATCTAAATTTTTTTCATCTTGAACACCATTTGGATATTACCTTTTATTAATTTACTGACTATTTTATATATGATATGTAATAATCTGTGTTTCACCAAATCTTGGAATTTTAGTCATTTATCAAATGACTTGTTTGGTACATGGTAAAGGACCTTATTTATTATTCCTCTAGCTTTTTCTAAAGTAAATAGAGTTGGTGTCTGATTTATTTTGCCATGGTCTGCTTTGTGTTTCCAGGGATGTTTAGAATATTTTTGTTTTTGTTCCTTCTCAGGCTTCATATGGAACGTAGAGGAAGACTTTAAGATGGTGCCAGAGACGTGGATCCCAGCTCACAGAGTCCAACATCATGACGGCCACCCGGTGCCTGAAGAGCACGGACACATTCCAGGCAAGTCCTTTCCATCTGTAGCCAGCAGGTAGCGCATTTTAACAAAGCGTTGCTGCACACGCACCACCACAGGCCCCATAAATAAACTGCTTCATTTCAGATTCATTGTGGTGGAGTACAGAGGCAAGATTACACAAACTGTCACCGTCCAAATACTTATGGACCCAAACGTATACCATTAAAAAGATTAATAAATAACCTGAGTTAATTATGTGAACAGACAACACAGGAGTCGACTGAAAAATGAAACGTTGAGTTTTTGTGGCTTTTAATATTTTAAATCATTTTGACTTTTTTTTTTATTATTCATTTCACCAGTAACCAGAGGACTTGTATTTTACAGTACAGCTCACAGATATAACACATACTGTAGTTTTTATAACTAATACACAGTCCAGTCTAAGTCTTTGCACTGTTCTGTATGGTAAAGGGGCTACGGTACGTCTCGCACACGCTTTCTACAATGATTGAACCTACTCAAATTAAAGCCAAGACTTAGCATGTTAATGTATTATCTACTTTGTTATCCAGTGGAACGTGCTGAAGGACAGAGCCTGGGGAACAAAACATAGGCCTGCACTGTAGATGTAATTCATGAGACAATTAGGAAGAATAGGAATGTGTGAGCATTCAATTTGTCATTTTGTCCTTGTATGGGAGTGTAGGACAGATGTACAATTTTATGAACATTTTCTCACTTGTTTCTAAAATATAAAAGATGTGTGGCTGCAGGAGAAGTAATTAGGTCTTTGTGAATGTGCAGGCTGGGTTCCTGTGGAGAAGGACAACAAGCAGCACTGCTGGCACTTCTCCGCGGTGGATTACGAGGTTGGGGCGGCCCTCGTTCTCAGGCCTGATGATGAAGACCTGATTGAAATCACAGCGGTTCCATTGGCCGACCTCATGGAACAAACTGGAGCTCATTGGAACCATTGTCATGGGGAACCCTTATGGTAAGGTGATTTCTTCTTTAATGTATGTTAAAATCTCTAGGGAGGGTTGTTTTTAAGCAGAAGTCTAACACATTCACTGCTGAGGCTTGGATAGGCTGTGCTTAAGACTTATTTACTGTACATTCAAACTGGTACAAATCTTTAACCTGAACTCATTTTCTGATGTGCATGCATGTGTTATGTGCACAGTTTTTGAAACATTCTAGTCATGCTTGTCACACTCCCGAATAGTGTGTTGTGGGTTTGATAAACTCAAGTTATCAAATAAATGTAGTGGAGTAAAAAGTTATGGTAAGATGTGAAGAAGCAGAAACTAAAATGAAGTACAGATGCCTCAACTGCACTTGTGTACAGTGCTTTTTGAAGAAGGTTTGAGAGAGGAGTTAAGGAAGCTATTTTTGTAAAAATAGAACACCCCTCACTAAATAGGGGTGGTGGACTAAGACACAACTTGTCATCCATCTACAACTCAGTTTTGAGATTTCTGCCCAAACACGCCCACCAGGACAGTAGGTGTCGGTCCACAGGTGAGGGCTCAAAGACGGGTAACGACGCTCACCGATACTGGGTGAGTCAGTCGTTAGGGGACATTGTTGGCCTTCAAAGGACTGAAACATCACCGATGGGGATAAGTATCTCTGGCTCAACGCCAGTCGGGCAGAACTG